GACAGGGCACGGCTGTCACGGAAAAGTCCCTTGCAGCGGAAATTCGAACGCAATTCTCGAAAGGCAGGTGGGCCACTTTCGAATCTCCATCTCCTGGACGCAATGCGAACTGCCATCCTGCATAACTGGCAGGTGGCGGGGCTCTGGCTGCATGGGCGCTAGCGCTGCACTCCCGTTTGCGGTAAGGAGAGTAGCGGCAGTGTTAGCCGGAGTGAGTAGAGCGAAGCGAGGCGCCGTGGGGCGAGACATCTTCATCGTGTAGCTCACCCCACCAGGTCCTAGGGTATGCCTATGGCCCTCCTCAAGGAAAAAGTGCACGGTCACACCTCCTCCTTGAGTGGTGGAGGGAGCGCCTTTGTGCTCAGTGGTCGCCGCATCCTGGTGGCCCCTACGCAGCCCACCATTGTACCTTTCACCTTCAACCGTCCACCATTTTACCACGCCACGTGAGTGGCCGTGCGGAATATACAAGATGGCTGTAAACACTGAAGGCACAATTGTTGACGATGCTGCTAGGAGGAGTGGGAGCCCAACTGGGGGCAGTGGGAACGTTAATGGTGGCTGTTGTGTTGGCGCTATCTTCCTACAAGATGGCTGTAAACACTAGAGGCGCCACTATTGACGATGCTGCTGGCGGCAGTGTGAGCTTAAACGGTGCTTGTTTCTACAGCTTGATATGCTGCTAGGAGGAGTGGGAGTCAATCTGGCAGCAGTGTGAGCGTTAACGGTGCTTGTTTCGACAGCCCCACTTTCCTACTTACTTTTACACACACTGCAGACGTAGTGTAGAAATCTTCCTGGCCTCTTTCATTGTGCTGTGCCTACTAGGTTAATATGCCTTGCTCCATGACATCCACAGTGTTCAAGTACTTAGCATACACTTTCTAGGGTACATTCCTAAATTCTCTGTGTATCTTCCTCAAGTGAACTTACATTAACACTGCCTTCCCCCACCATTATTACCTTCTATTAATCACTTGAAATTCTGACCCATTTATCCCCTGAATTCTGACCCATTTATCCCCTGAATTCTGACCCATGTATCCCCTGACTTCTTCTTCCCCTATGGCAACTCCGCCCACTCTCTGAATCTCACCCAAGTACCCATCCACGTTCTCCTTGTCCCCTCCCTATAGTTTCCATACTTTTCCCTCTCGTTTTTAAATATCCTAATCTAGCCGTCTTATTAACCCAATACGTTTCCCTCCGCCTTCCCCTTCCCTGCTCCACCCCTCCTGTTTTCACTATTCATCTAGTCATTTCACGAGTTGCCCTCACCTACCCTGGACTCCGTCTTCGTACAGTCCTGCAGACTGAGCCTCTCTTCCCGACCCTATGTGCTCCCCTGTAGACTCAACCTATCCTCCCGTCTCACACAATTGTTCTCCAACCCTCTCACCCGTTGCTAACACTGCCACAGTGCCACTCCCCCTTTTTTTTTTTCACGTGGAACCACCTACCTACCCTCCTGTCTCTCTTTTTTTTTTTTTTTTTTTTCAGCTGCACTCTGACTCCACCTATCAAGCGTACCATTCTTACACCTATCAAACTGTTGTTGGCCGGCAACTCTTCAAAAGTCCGTGGGGCGATGCAAAACTTTCGAAAACCCGGTTTTAAACAGCCTGTGTGGCAAGCCTCCTAGTGTTTGCCCCCCTGCAACACCCATTCCCTCTAGGGTCCTCGGTGCTGGTCTCGAAACGGGTGCTGAAATTCGAGAGTCCACGTCAAGTCTGGGTGGACAAACCAGGCTGACAGTGTCCTTTGTGGAATCCGGCTGCTCTAGAATGTCCAAAGTTTGGCCCCATGTATCTTTCTGTGTTGTAGCAGAAGATTTCATTCTCAATTTGCACTTGAACTCAAGTCATGTGGAACGAGGCTCTAAAGTGGAGTCTAGTGTAGTGGAGGGAGGATACATGGGGGCGCACTTTGGACAGTCTACAGCAGCCGGATTGCACAAAAGGACACTGCCAGCCTGGTTTGTCCACCCAGACTTGTGGTGGACTCTCGAATTTCAGCACCGTTTCGAGACCAGCACTGAGGACCCTAGAGGAAATGGGTTTTGCAGGCGGGCGAACACTAGAGGAGTAGAAAGTGCTGTGACGAGCTGTCTTCTGTAACCGCGCGATTTTCTGCGCGAAGCTGCTTCAGGGATAATTTGGGCTGGGTCGGTTGGGCGAAGTGTGTGAGGATGGGTCGACGGGGTGAATTGCATGGATGACCTCGCTTCTTTCTCCTTGGATTTTTGGGATCGGGGCCGGGGAAGTCCTGCGCAGGTGGCTGAGTGGCCGCGCCTTAGTGAGCGCGAAAGATAAATGTTACCATAACTTCTTTCTTGTTCTGCTGTGGGAAGTTGTGAACTGGGAATTTTGGCGCGATCATAGCGTTGGAACGCCGTTTTCAAAATTTTGAATGGATGTCGAGCCCCCGCGGGCTCTCGGAATTATTTTTCTTTCGGAATTTCTTTTCGCATTTAGGATTTAGGCTAGGAATTTAGGTACCTCACATCCTGGCTGTACTGTGATGCCCAACCTCACGCCCGGCGCGACTTCCTGATCGGAGTGGAGTGTGGGCCTGGAAGTGCGAAAAGGGGTGTGCCAAGGATTTTTGGGGAAAGTGGGGGAGTCTTAAGGATATGAATGTAATTAGGCGGACGAGGGATGCGTGCGCGAGGAGCTCACGATCCGATAAGGCCTGGGCAGTGAGGGTGGCGGTTGACGGGAAAGTTCCTCCGCGGCGGAGGCGGTCCTGAAAAGTTAGGCCGTCGGGGTCCGCCACGCGGCGCGGGCCTCCGCGTATTTGGATGGGGCCTTCAGAGTTCCGGAGTTCTCTGTTCGCTGCTACAGCGGCAATTCGCGCAAAACGTACTGGGCCAATAGGGGGCAATGGCCGGCCACGGACCGACGCTGAGTTGATGGTATGGAAGAAGAAGGCGGAAAGGAGAAACGACGCTGAGTTGATGGTATGGAAGAAGAAACGAAAATAAGAACGGGCAAGCCGCCCTGAGCCGCAATCAAAATGTATATACACAGGGACAGATGGGGAAGACACAAAGAAACAGCAAGACCACATCCATCAACCTCAACTCTCTCTCTCTCTCTCTCTCTCTCTCTCTCTCTCTCTCTCTCTCTCTCTCTCTCTCTCTCCCTCTCTCTCTCTCTCTCTTCTTCTTCGATGCGGACAGTCCATCGTCACACACCAACCCACGAAGTCGTCACCCCGCTTAGTCCTCCCGCACCCGTNCTCTCTCTCTCTCTCTCTCTCTCTTCTTCTTCGATGCGGACAGTCCATCGTCACACACCAACCCACGAAGTCGTCACCCCGCTTAGTCCTCCCGCACCCGTCGGATTCGCCTGTGCCCACAGTCCGTCGTGGCCCACGTCAATCCCGCGCGTTTGACACCAGCCCGTCGGGTCGCCCAACTTCTACTCTACTCACTTCTTACTTCGCTCGTGTGCCGACCCTTCCTGATCACGCAACCCCGAGCTTCCAACAACGGATTAAGAGAGCTGACTAATCGCGCAGCCGAAATTTATAGCGTGCATGCATGTGCGAAGAACACGGAGTTACCAAAACTTAGAGTGAAGATTAGAGAGGGAACGCCTGCGCCCTGCATGATAGGCCGCGGCGTGGGGGACGTAACCCTTCTCCACGCATCGATCCGAGCATGCAAGCCGCGGCTTACAAAATTTCAGCAAAAGAAAGAGAGGGAGGGCGGGAGAGACGAAGTGCAAGAAGAGAGATACCGTTACAATGGCGTCCGCCCAAAATTACAATTACACACGCGATTAAGGGCGCCTGCTAATCAGAGTTCCGTTGCTGCCGCATGAAGAAGCGCGTAAACAAAAAGCGCCGCGCGTCAGGGAAAATCCTAATTACTAAATTTCTAAATTCCTATCTAATGCAAGAAAGCAAAAAAAAGCATGAATTCCGAAGGAAAGGCCGAAATTCCGAGAGCCATTGGGGGCTCAACAAAATTCGAAAAAGATTCAAGAGGAATTTCAAAAAAGAACGAAGCAATTTCCCGCGCGATGTCCGCGCCCAAAAGATCAAAAACCGAACCAAAAGAAACGATGTCGATATTAGTCGCGCGCGCGCGTGGCGTCGCGCCAAACAACCATCCAACCAATCAATCCACCGGCCGTCCCAGGACACACCCAGCCCCGAAGAAGCGACGAAAAAGACGAAGAAGCAAGAGTACTGATGCAATTTTCCACCGATCCCGATTTCCCGCAATTGGCCCAATCTTCCCAGCTTAGGACCCCTCGTTGCAATTGCACCAAAACTCGCGTGTTACAGGAAGTGGTTTGTCACATATGTGATGCCCTGAGGGTTCCAATATTAGCAAGCTCCTGCTTGCTTGTTGACACGTGTCGATTTCTCTAATCGATCGACACGCGGAGCACTTCTCTTTATGCCACTTACCGTTCGATTGCGTGCGGACGTCATCCAACGTGGCAACTTTGCTCTTCTACTACTTCCTCAGATTGGGCTCTCGACCGTCCAAGGACGGGATTTTTCTCGTGCCGTTACCGCGACACGTATCCATTACTGGTTGCATCAGTAATTAACTGGAAGGGGAAAAGGGAGCCGGTGCATGGCGGCATGGCGGGGTGGAGGGCTTAGGGGTAGCGGGGGCAAGAACCTTTCCATCCCGGCTGCAGATTCTGGAAGCGCTTGGTAACGGACGATGCGTTGGAAGCGGGGGAAACGGTTGCCAGTGCGAGGGAGGGACGCGAGGTAATCAAGATAGAGGGTAGTGAAAGTTCGGAAAAGTGCCGCGCGGAAACGATCGTGATCTTCGCAGGCGGGGATGGTCCCTGTTACTATGCAATAAACCTCGATCATATTGTGGCCCCGCCACGTGGCACTGAGGATAAAACATGGAGGCAGAAGGTTGGGACGGCGCACTGAATGGAGGGGTGGGGGTGCACTACTATAGCGAGGCGAGCAGCATGGAAGTGGGGGAAGGTATCGCAGAGAAACGGGTTGGAGGGGAACGTGATGGGGGTGGTGAGCTGGCGGAGGGTGAGGTAGTCAAGAGGACGGCGGGAGAGTAATCGGGGACGAAGGCCGATCGCCCGTATCGGTGCGTCGGCGAACTGGGGGACGGGTTGGGGAGGAGGGGGATCGGCTCCGTCGCCGCATTGATGGGGTCGGAGTCGTGGCCGTGAGGTCGCCATGTTCTGGTCGGGGCGGCTCTGGATCTTGGTTTGGATCGTCGTGGACGTGTAAGCTTGCCCCGTTCGCAACCTCTAGTTCCCTTTTCCCGGCTGCGGTTTCTTTTCTTTTGCGGGCCGCCTCCGGATCTTCAGCCTCCGTGCCCGTGCGCAGCGCTTCTTCCGGCGCAGTTTCCCACTCCGATTTCATAGGTCCTGCTTCGTTCTCCTCTTCTCCTTCGTCTTCTTCTTCTTCTTCTTCGCTCTGCTCCCCCTCGCTATGCTCGCTATAGCTTCCTTCTTCAGGGGTTTCGTCCTCTTCTTCGAGTACTTCGTCGCTTTCCCCACTTTCTTCCCGCTCGTCTTCTCCTTCGTCACTCTCAGTGCTTTCTTCCTCCTCCTCTTCCTCTCGAATGGCAGCAAGCTGGCCTGCCGTTGGGTGCCTGAAGAAGGCAGGATGACAAACCATCTGGGGATCCAAATACTGCTGCTGCGACGGCGGGATGCGCTCTGCGGCTCCCTCCACACAAGCCGACCACTGGAGATACGGCGTTAACGTGCGAGAAAGTACATGAGGAATCGGATGCTCGCCGTCTTGCGAGATGATGTCGAGAGGGAGCTCGTCCGCCAGCTGCGCTACTGGGATCGCGAGCTCTTGCGCGATGAGTTGCTTATGTCCGGGCCGTACTGTGCCGAACAGAAACGCGAGGAGTTCTCCCTCCACGCTGGTTCGCCAAGCCTGGATGAACAGCAACTCCAGGCGCTCTATGCAAGGCGGGCGCGCCTCGTCCTCGGTCCACGTCAGCCGTACCTCGACTAAGCACAGTGAAAGCTCGACAAAGTCTTCGCGCCACAGTTGCCAGTGTGGGGCATTGTGGGGGATGAATGTCGGGGACAGCAAGGGTCGTTAGACAGTAGGAAAGGCGAGGATGGAAATCGGAAGGTGGGGAGGGTAGAGGGGAGATAAAAAACGGAGATATGAGAGAGACTCATTGGGGGCGAGGGAAGGGAACAACAACAGGGAGAACCGTCGGCGGATCACGTTGGTACATCCGAAGGCCGTCGTATTCGATTGCTCGTGTCGGCGCGACCGTGTCCTCGGGGCGAGCCAGAAGCTGGGTCCACTCAGCGACCAGATCGTTCGCCCACACGCGTAGCGATGTCCTCACCGCCGTATGTCGTAAAGGGAGGAGCCTGGAGAGATCGCCACGAAAGTTGATGACGACCGATATGCGGCTGACACCTGGCACCGCTCGCTGATGAACTGCTTCAGCCAGTACAACTGCGTTGGGCCGGCACTCGATTCTGAACACCGCCGCTGCATACACGCCTCCCGTGCAGAAAAAGTGTGCAAGCCGCCGGAGATCTGGGCTGAGATGGGGATGATAGACTTGCCGGATCATCAATCGATCACGGGGTGCAAACGATGCTTCGCTGGGGGCTCTTTCCTCCAGAAAACTCATGGCGATGGCGATGGAGACGGAGAGGCAGAGAGGGAGCAAGAGGAAGAGGGGGATGGCGGAGAGTCAGAGTCGTCATCTTCGGCTTCCTCAGAAGGAGAGATCAAGGGAGACGGAGCAGAGGGGAGGAGGCGAAGATAGGACACGTGGCGTGTGATCGGACGAGCCGATCGACCGCCGGAGACTTCCGGAGCGAGACGCACGATGTTTACGCCTTTGGGGCCGAGCTCGATCACGCGATATCGCCCGAAGAATCGTGGCGCTAGCTTCCCTTGGCGAGCATATTTCCTCACCTGCACCACGTCCCCCAATTTATACTGGGGCCGTGGACCCGCATTCCCATTTCGGGCCTCGTAGCTCTGGATCTGTCGGCCTTGGGCTAGTTCGGTCATTTTCTGTCATTTTCGGGCCAGCTTGGGCAGTGACCGTTCCATTAGCTCTAGGTGTCGTTTGGCCTTGTCCCGAGCCGTGGCCCTGGTGGGCCGTCGGTTCAATGTAGACTCATCCGGGAGGCTTGGTATCAAAACGCAAGCGACGCTATTTGTTCTTAATTGAAAGGGGCTTAGCCCCGTCGATTCGTGGGGCGTTCCGCGATGGACCGCCAGAATGTGATCGACGATATCGGGCCAGGGTCTCGGATCCCGTGCCGCGAAGTTTCGTCGCAATGCTGTTTTTATCATCCCGTTAGCGTTTTCGACCAGCCCATTGGATTGTGACATGTGGGGTGCATTGTTCCGTATGACGACGCCATGTATAACCAGATTCTTTAACACTTCTCCTTTGAATTCAGCCCCATTATCAATTAGGATTTCTTCGGTATCCTGATGCATCCCGAGGAAACGGTTGACGTATCGCGCGATTTCTGTGGCTGGCCGCGTGCGACAGGGATACGCTTTGATCCATTTCGAAAAATGGTCGACAAATACCAGTAGGACTGGATACTTGCAACTATTAGGGCCAGGGGGCACCACTATGTCGGTAGTGTCCATGCTTACTCTCTGAAATGGCCGTTCAACAACCGTGGGCACTATCGATCTTGGCGGCTGAATCGGCGCCTTATCAGCGGCGCAGACTTGGCAGTTGGCGACGATGTATTTCACATCGTCACGGATATTGGACCAGTACCACTTATTTTTGTTGATAGCGGACTCCGTGATTTGTACGGCGAAATGAGCCGCAGTTTCTTCGTGCGCCGTCTTAACCCAGTCGTACCTCATGAGCGGATGCGGCACCACCATCCAAATTCCGCTGCCATCCGTTTTTCGTTTTTCTAATCTACGCTCTATCCATCGGTAATCCCGAGCCCTCTCGTTGACCCTCCTCCGATCTTCCTTGGTGAAATCCTGGAGGGGGTTACCTACTAGGGTGGCGATTAAGGCAATGTCCGTCCATACTTCGACCCTTCTAAACTTCCGGTTTTTTTCCAATCCTTCTGACGTGGCATCCAAAAAGCGAGCCTCGGTCGGAATCTTATTGGTCCAGCACAAGGGACACAACCACGACTTACTATCGTTTCTGTATTGGATGCACGAGCCATGGGTTTGTGCGACACACTGTCGGCAATCGATCCAATCAACATACCCCTCCCCGTTAGGACACATGGAAACCGAATAGACGCGGGAGATGGCTTCACAAAAATAGCAAAATTTGTCAGACAGGGAGAGGAGAGACAAAGAGGAAGGAGGAGAGAGGGGGGTAGTGGGGTTACCTCCGTCACCCATCGCTGCCGTTTTACTTCTTGCCACATGGGAGAACTGCCACTTGTCCGTACCTTGGCTCGTTAGTCAGGTCTGGCTTTTTCCACGGTGTAATTTCCTCGTCCTTTGGTACCTTGGCAGGTCGATGCAAACGTGTCAACCCGTCCGCGTTACCGTGTCGCTCTGTCTTTCGATGGACGATATCGAAGTCGTATTCTTGCAGTCGTATTCTTGCAGTCGCACCGCCCAACGGCCAATCATGCCCGTGTAGTTGGTGAGTTTCTTCAGTGCCAATAGAGGCTCGTGATCCGTTACGAGACGAAACTTCTGTCCGTAGAGATACGGATGGAAGTGCTGGATTCCCCAAACTACCGCATAGCACTCGCCTTGAGATGCGGAATCGTTTCTACGTTGGTCTGGCACGGTTCGAGACGCGAACTCGATGACGTGTTCAAGCCCTTTGTTCCCCTTCTGTGCTAAAATAGCGGAAATAGCTTCCGGTTGCCAGTCCATGATGAGAATGAACTGCTTCGCGGAGTCCGGCCGAATTAAAATAGGGGCTGTTGCCAGAGTGTCTTTGAGGGTCGCAAAGGCGTGCTGGCACTCCGCGTCCCAATTGAGTGGCTGGTCCTTCCGTAATAGATTCGTTAGCGGTCGTGCAATCACAACAAAGCCCTTGATGAAGCGCCGATAGTATGGCGCCAGCCCCAAGAAGGCTCGAACCTGCGTCAGTGACGTGGGAACCGGGGCTTCCTTCACCGCCGCGGCTTTTCTCGAATCTGGCCGCAGTCCTCCACGTGTCACGACGTAACCCAAAAACGAAATTTCCGAGAGGAAAAATTCGCTCTTCTCAAGCGCAATTTTGAACCCAGCGTCTCTTAATGCACCCAATGTCCATTCGATGTGTTGCACGTGTCCGTGATAGGTTTCCGAATAGACCAGAATGTCATCCATGTAAATAATCACGTAGAAGTTAATCATTCCTTGCGTCAGCCGTGTCTTGTTGACGAAGTTCTTGAATGTCATGTTCATCGCTCGCTGAAATGTGGAAGGCGCATTGCAAATCCCCATCGGACATCGAACCCACTGCCACGTACCCTCAAACAGCACAAAGGCCGTTTTCGGCCGATCTTCTTTCCTTACCAGAATATGATGGAAGCCATGCCGAATATCAAACTTGCTAAAATATTTAGCGCATCCAATCGCATCCAACAGATCATCAATCCGGGGGAGGGGATACACATCTTTAATCGTGATTTCATTCAGCTTGTGGTAATCAATGCAGATGTGAATCGCTCCGTTCTTCTTTGGTACTAACACTACGGGAAAGGACCATGGTCCGGTAGCAGGTTCAATCCAGCCGTTGGCTTCGAACTCCCGAATTCGTTCGAGCCTTTTTGCGTTCAATCAAGGAATAGTGATAAGGTTTGCAATGAATCGGGGTGTGATCTCCTGTCTGAATTTCGTGTTGGATTACTAATGACAGCCCAATGTCAGTGTCTGACACGCTAATCGCTCCTTGATATTCCGTGAGAATATCCGCAATTACCTGGCGGATTGCATCCGGTACATATTGCGAAACGTGCAATTCATAAAGCTGATCCCAGATCCGAACGTCAATCTGTTTTGTATTCGCCTGTTTTGTCAAATCAGGTGGAGGCGCCGAGATGAATGAATGACCCGATCGCCAGGAGAACACCGTGGCCATCATCTGAGCATCTTCTTCTCGGATCGCCATGTGTTCTTCCGGGGTAATCCCATCACAAACATCCTGCCATGGCACTTCTTTAGTTGCGATCTTTATCCCCAGTACGTCTGTTTCTGCTTCAAAACGCCCAGGGGGTTCCAGAGAGCTTGCTTCCGCCCCCAAGCGTAACAATCTCACTTCTTTGGTCGAGGTTAGTAAGGACTTGGGTAGATCCGTAATATCATAGTAATGCTTCTTGTCGCTGTATCGGGCGAGGAGGGGGGTGGTTCCTTCGTACAGGGTTTGAGGGGGTTCCAAAGAATCGACCATCCTCGAAATCTGCACGAGGGGCTCACCCAAGATCATTGCCTTGGTTCTTTGAATGTTTCGGTTGGCCAGCTGCATTGTTCTTGCTATCGTTTTGGACGGCGGGTAGTAAACGCGCTGTCGCACTAATTTCAAGATCTCCGGATCATCTTCGTCACTGCTGTCCGCATCATTCGTTGATGACCTTTCGTCTGCGGATTCATCCCAGGAGATCATGCGGAGAGTCCCTGCCATCATCGATGAAACCCGCGGAACCGTGTTAACAGTAGTGCAAAGGGTCAATCGCATGGGCACAGCGTAGGGTTTTCCGCCTGTATTTCGAAGAATGATCGAACGTCTCTCGAAATCTAGGTTTGCTCGTAACGCCACAAGAACGGAAAATCCGAAAAGAACGTCGTACGTATTAACATCTAGGACTACGACATCCCCAAGCGCGTGCACTTTGCCCAATCGGAAAGCGATATTGGTCATTCTTCCCACAATTTTAATATTTTCTTCGTCCGCCGAAACGAGCTGATCTTTCTCAGAAAGCATGATCAGGTCGTTTTTCCTTCCTGCCCTTTCGACCACTCTTAGTGAAATAGCCAACACAGCTGCTCCCAAATCTATAATTGCGTTGTAAGGAATTCCCCAAATTTCTATGTCACATTCTGCGGATTTTCACGGAATCGGTTTAATCCGCAAGAAATGATCGTCTTTCTGAATTAAACTTACCCGTACTGGATCCGGGGTGCCTGTTGGGTTTTCTTCTGGCGAGGGACCTTTAGCTTTTGCATTCGGTGTTCGGGCAAGGGCGAATCGTTTTCTGTTTGCCTTGCAATGCTGTAGCATTCACTCGTTGGCTTGCTCGAAGATGGAGAGTAGGTGACCCATCGGAAGGGGAATCCGATGATCCAAGGCTCGGATGATGTTTAATACATCGATTTCCCCTGTGACGAAGGTGGGCCCCCCCTACTCCATTTCTCCTAGGGACGGTCGCCACTCCGCCACCTCTTTTGGTTTTGGCGCTGGTCTTATTGTTCCGATCATTCCCAGTCCCGGATATCCGAGCGATACGTACTGATCTAGCGGAATTAGCTTAGCGGCTTCTTCCGTGGTGGCCAGGGCACTTCCTCCACCCTCTACTTTTTCCATCAAAGCTCCGACTCGTCCAGGTCCGTTGGCGATGGGAGCCGCAGCCATAGGCGCGAATCCGATCCGCTGTTGTGGGGGTCGGTGAGGGCAGTCTCGGGCCAAATGCCCTGGCTGATGGCACGCATAACAGATATTTAGATTATTGGCGGCTCCTCCGAGCGCAGGTGCGGGGGTTACCCGTTGTTGTATCGGAGGAGCACTTACCGCAATGGGCCGCATGTTCCTCATCATGGCTTCCAGCCGAGCATTGTGCTCTCGCTGCTCCTTCTTACTTTCCTGAATAAAAAATCAAGGTTTTGGTTAGTTCGAAAATGGCCGCTGATTCGTTCGTTCGTGCGGGAGCCTCAACTAACGACAGGGGTAACGCCCTTGCGGGTGGAGGCATTACATGAGCGGATGTGCTTGGGACTTCGCTTAGGGCCACTCGCTTGGGGCTTATCTGTTACATATAGGTAACAGGTCCTGATACAAACCCCATGTTTTCAAACTTGTTCTGCAGAGCAGCTAACTCAGCTCTCGCTCGTGTGAGCTCGGTCGAATCTCCTTCTCTAGGATAGTCTTCGCCTTCCAGGAAGTTCGCTGCGAACTTCCGTTCCATTTCTTCCACGGCAGCCATGATTTGTTGTAGCGTGTGAGTGATGGGGGAATATTGCTTTCGTAACTTAGTCCTTATTGTTCGGCTGCGAAGCCCATCAATGAACAGGTCTCTTCCTACTTGTTCACCTCGCTCAGTTTTTACGAACATTCGGTAGAACCGGTTCCGATATTCTGCGACGGATTCGAGAGGTTTTTGCACTCGGTCCTTGATCATAAATAGTGCTTGCTCGGGGTGAACGTAGTAAAATCGATTCATGAAATCCCGCTCAAAGGTCGGGAGATCAACCCACACATAGGTGCTAAACCAATGATGAGCGTCTCCCCCCAATCGGGCGGGAATATTGATCTGGGCTTCATGGTCAGTATACTGTTGGGTTCTAAGTGTGGCCAGCCATGCTCCTGCGAGATGGTGTGCAGGATCAAAGAGATAAAGATCTGGTGGCGTTATGGGAGCTCGTGCACGTGGGGCGGGTTCATTTGGGGGATTAGCATTCTGTTGTGGGAACGGGTTTGGCACATTGGCAGCCATATTGGCTGCTCGTCGGTTAGCCGATCTGCTTCGGGTGACGATAGGGTCGTGTCTATACGCGTTCCGAGGGCGAGGTCGCCCACGGTGAGCCAGATCGCCAATTTAACGTGTTATTAATCCTAAGACCCTAGCCACGTGTCGGGCTCCGATACCAATCTCACGCCCGACGCGACTTCCTCATCGGAGTGGAGTGTGGGCCTGGAAGTGCGAAAAGGGGTGTGCCAATGATTTTTGGGGAAAGTGGGGGAGTCTTAAGGATATGAATGTAATTAGGCGGACGAGGGATGCGTGCGCGAGGAGCTCACGGTCCGATGGGGCCTGGGCAGTGAGGGTGGCGGTTGACGGGAAAGTTCCTCCGCGGCGGAGGCGATCCCAAAAAGTTAGGCCGTCGGGGTCCGCCACGCGGCGCGGGCCTCTGCGTATTTGGATGGGGCCTTCGGAGTTCCAGAGTTCTCTGTTCGCTACTACGGCGACATTTTGCGCAAAACGTACTGGGCCAATAGGGGGCTATGGCCGGCCATGGAATGACGCTGAGTTGATGGTATGGAAGAAGAAGGCGGAAAGGAGGGAAACTGGTGGTGATCTCAACAAATCCCGGATGGGTGAAGTAGTAGGTACGGTCGGGGGAAGGGAAATCAGAGGACCGTGGGTCGCTAGTGGTGGCACAGTGGAATTCCCGCGGACATAATCGATTCTCCGTGTGACAGGGGTATCGTGTCCTTATGAGCTCGTTTATTACAGGGGTGAAATAGTCCGGGTCATAGGATGAGTTTGAGCCACAAGATCGCGTCATGGTGTCATCGTAGGTGGGATGGCGCGGGTCGGGATCTCGTCACCGCGAGTCCCGTCTGGGCGGGAGAATCGCCGCACGGGAATGCGTGTAAGGGCACGACTTGGATCGCGTTTACACGTGTTCTCGCGTGGCGTTTACGGGGCCAGATTTTGAGTCACTGATCATGCAAGATGCAACCATATCACAACCTCATCGTGAGGTAAGCAAAAACGAGACTAAAATCACGATCAGAGCCTAATTCCTATCCATCTATATCTGATGTAGACAAAAGTTCGACACAAAAAGCAAGACAGAGATTCGCAAGCAAAACATCCATTCATTCAGCAATCATATACATAGTGCCACTGAGACAGTGAGCAAAATGCGAGTCCAGATTCCAGAAGGGCTGAAATGGAAATAAGAATGGGCAAGCCGCCCTGAGCCGCAATCAAAATGTATATACACAGGGGCAGAGGGGGAAGAGACAAAGAAACAGCAAGACTGCATCCATCAACCTCAACTCTCTCTCTCTCTCTCTCTCTCTCTCTCTCTCTCTCTCTCTCTCTTCTTCTTCGATGCGGACAGTCCATCGTCATGCACCAACCCACGAAGTCGTCACCCCGCTTAGTCCTCCCACACCCGTCGGATTCGCCCGTGCCCACAGTCCATCGTGGCCCACGTCAATCCCGCGCATTCGGCACCAGCCCGTCGGGTCGCCCAACTCCTAGTCTACTCACCTCTTACTTCGCTCGTGTGCCGACCCTTCCTGATCGCGCAACCCTGAGCTTCCAACAACGGATTAAGAGAGCTGACTAATCGCGCAGCCGAAATTTATAGCGTGCATGCATGCGCGAAGAACACGGAGTTACCAAAACTTAGAGTGAAGATTAGAGAGGGAACGCCTGCGCCCTGCATGATCGGCCGMGGCGTGGGGGACRTWACCCTTCTCCACGCATCRATCYGAGCAYGCAAGYCGCGACTTACAAAATTTCAGCAAAAGAAAGAGAGGGAGGGCGGGAGAGACGAAGTGCAAGAAGAGAGATACAGTTACAATGGCGTCCGCCCAAAATTACAGTTACACACGCGATTAAGGGCGCCTGCTTATCAGAGTTCCGTTGCAGCCGCATGAAGAAGCGCGTAAACAAAAGGCGCCGCGCGGCAGGGAAAATCCTAATTACTAAATTCCTAAATTCCTATCTAATGCGAGAAAGCAAAAAGAAGCATGAATTCAGAAGGAAAGGCCGAAATTCCGAGAGCCATTGGGGGCTCAACAAAATTCGAAAAAGATTCAAGAGGAATTTCAAAAAAGAACGAAGCAATTTTCCGTGCGATGTCCGCGCCCAAAAGATTAAAAACCGAACCAAAAGAAACGACGTCGATATTAGTCGTGCGCGCGCGTGGCGTCGCGCCAAACAACCATCCGACCAATCAATCCACCGGCCATCCCAGGACACACCCAGCCCCAAAGAAGTGACGAAAAAGACGAAGAAACAAGGGTACTGATGCAATTTTCCACCGATCCCGATTTCCCGCAATTGGCCCAATCTTCCCAGCTTAGGACCCCTCGTTGCAACCGCACAGAAACTCACGTGTTATAGAAAGTGGTTCGTCACAGTACGGCGCTTCTTGTTAGCATGCACGTCACCACGGCAGGATCTGGGCTCTGACTTTCCACGCCTTAATCCCGCGTGTAACTGTAATTTTTGGCGGGCGTACGCGCAACTGTAATCTTCTTGTTCTTGACGGCTTTCGTGTTTTCCCATTTTTCGCGCCCCACCTTCACCCATGCATGCACGCTTCCTTCTCTGTTCTAATTGGTTCCAACGTTTGCATGGCGGGATTGGTGCGCGGAGAGTGGCTCCGTCCCCCACGCAGCGGCCTGGCCATGCAGACGAAGGCACTTCCTCTTTCCCTTTGCTCAGGCATAATCCCGGGGTTTTCGTGCAAACATGCACGCTATAAATTCAACAAGTGCGATTAGTTTGCTATCTTGTGGAAGTTCGAGGTTAGCGCGATCAGTGAGGATCGGATAACAAGCACGTAAAAAAAGGTGAGTAGAAGAGTGTTGGGCGATCCGACGAGCTGGTGCCGAGTATGCGGGGTTGATGTGGGGGCCGTGACAGACTGTGGCGCATGGGCGAACCTGGCTTGCATCCCCGGACTAAGCGGGTTGATAACTTTGTGTGGATGCGAGGCGAAGAACTGCCCGCATTGGGAATGGAGGAGAGAGAGAGAGAGAGAGAGAGAGAGAGAGAGAGAGAGAGAGAGAGAGAGAGAGAGAGAGAGAGAGAGAGAGAGAG